ATGCACTATCCTATCTAATAAAAGAGAAACATGGTAATTAGCATACGTTTGCTACCCTTCAGATTGGCTAATCAGTGAGATATGCAAATTACCTGCCAGCCAAGATGGCGGCCGGCAGCCCGGCAGCTTGAAGTTAACATGAGGCAAGCTTGCTTCAGTGACGGAGGAAACCAATGTTCCCCGCCTTCCTTGCCGGCCTCTGAGCTTGCAGTTTGAAACATAGTTACAAATATAGAAGCTAAACAAAACCCCAGAAACCTGCTTGCAGCCCTCTGGGATCTCAGAGCAGGAGTTGATCCAGTGTTTCGACTCTAGAACCCAAACAAACCAGATACCTGCTTTCAGCAGCAGAGGCCTCAGAGCTGGAGCCAGAGCTACAGCTGGCCCAGAACAAGAAAGAAAAAAGAAAAAAAGGAGCAGTTGGGAGCTTCAGTCACCCGCCAGCCTGAAAACAGCCCTCAGCCCCTCACCCAGACTGGCCAGGCACCCCAGTGGGGACCCCCACCCTGAAGGGTGTGTGACCAGCTGCAAACAGCCATCATCCCCTCACCCAGGCTGGCCAGGCACCCCAGTGGGGACCCCCACCCTGAAGGGTGTGTGACCAGCTTCAAACAGCCATCATCCCCTCACCCAGGCTGGCCAGGCACCCCAGTGGGGACCCCCACTCTGATCCAGGACACCCTTCAGGGCAAACCAGCTGGCCCCCACCCGTGCACTAGGCCTCTATCCTATATAGTAAAAGGGTAATATGCCTCCCAGCACCGGGATCAGTGGAGCTGTGAGGCCTCCTGGCACCGGGATCAGAGTGACAGGGGGCAGCGCCCAAACCCCCTGATCTCTCTGCGGCTCTGTGCATGACAGGGTACAGAGCCCCAACCCCCCTGATGGGCCCTTCTCTGTGCGTGACAGGGGGCAGAGCCCCAACCCCATGATTGGCCCTGCTCTGTGCATGACAGGGGCTGGTGCCGCAACCTCCCCATCGACCCTGCCTTGAGTGTGACAGGGGGTGGTGCCCCAACCCCCCAATCGGCCCTACCCTGAGCGTGACTGAGGGTGGCATCGCAACCTTCTGATCTGCCCTGCTCTGTGCATGACAGGGGGCGGCGCCCCACTCCCCAATCGGCCCTGCTCTGAGCCCGACCAGGGGCTGCACCAAAGGATTGGGCCTGCCCTCTGCCAGCAGGTCGTTATCTCCCGAGGGGTCCCAGACTGCGAGAGGGCACAGGCCTGGCTGAGGGACCCCTCTCCCCCCCAAGTGCACAAATTTTTGTGCACCGGACCTCTAGTTTATTATAAGATGATATCTTTGACAACCTAACATACATTTATTGGTATGACTTACATAATTGTATTAACCAACTAGAGGCCTGATGCATAAAATTCATGCCTCTGTAGGGTCCCTAGGCCTGGCTGGCAATCAGGGCCTATCTGTGGGAGGCGACTGGTGGGGGTATCGGGGCCCCCACTGGACCTGCCTTGGCTGGCTTGGGGCCTGCAGGTTCGGGGAAGCTCCTGCATTGAGCATCTGCCCCCTGGTGGTCAGTGTGCATCATAGTGACCAGTCATTCCACAGGTAGTTCCACTGTTCAGTCAATTTGCATGTTAGGCTTTTATTATATAGGATGGCACACCCATAATTAAAAAAAATAAAAATGAAAAAAACAAATTTAGAATAAATCTATTCTACGGGATATTTGTGATAATTACTTTAAAATAATTATTGGCTAAAATAGCCCTAACCGGTTTGGCTCAGTGGATAAAATAATTATTGGCTAAAAAAAAGCTTTATTAATAATTGTAGCCCAAAGTATCAACTATGTAGAAATTTTGTTTATGCTTCTCAGTATACTTTGGCAGTTTGTATCTGGTTTAAAATCATTCTAACGAATGTGGCAGACACTTGTAAGATTGAGAAAATGATTTCTAAAGAAGATATAATAATTTTTCTTGTCCTTTATGTATGTGAATTGTTTATTTTTCAATTGTGCAAATAATACATGAATACATGGTCCTTGTAGAAGTATTCAAACCACAGCAATATTGGAAGTAAAAAGTAATATTACCCATTCACCTTCTATGTGCCACCTACTACCAGAATAAACCATTATTAGCAGTTTGATTTATACCCTTTACCACAAACATAATTACATATATTAGTTCAATTAAGAGGGAGAAAAAGTCAGTTATAGCAGGAAAGCTAAGCACAGTCTTTGATGCCAGGCTTACTGGGTCCAAACCCAGACTCTATACCACTTACAACTGTGTAGTATTGGGCATCTTATCTAACTTCTCTGTTCTTCAGTTTCCTTGTATGTAAAATGGCAATTATAATATCTGATTCATAGAGATGTTATGAAGATTATATAGTTAGTACATGTGAAATATGTAGAAAAGTGCCTGGCACATATTAAATGTTCAATATATGATGCAATCATACTGTATATGTTGTCTACAACTCACATTCCATCAATACACATGAAAGTAATACACTGTAGTAATTAAGAGCATGGGTTCTGAATTCAATTGCCTGGTGCACGTAATAGTTCCACCATTTCCTCACTTTCTGGTCTTCAACAAGTATAAAACATTTCTTTGTATTTGTTTCTTTTGTTACATGGAGATAATAGCTTCTGTTTTTTTTCTCTATTATTGAATTACTAGAGGCCCGGTGCATAAAATTCATGCACAGGGGGGTGGGGGGGTGATCCCTCAGCACGGCCTGCACCCACTCCAATCTGGGACCGCTGGCTCCTAACCGCTCACCTGCCTGCCTACCTGATTGCCCCTAACTGCCTCTGCCTGCATGCCTGATCACCCCTAACTGCCTCTGTCTGCCTGCCTGATAACCCCTAACCACCTCTGCCTGCCAGCCTGATTGCCCCTAACTGACCTCCCCTGTTGGCTTGGTTGCCCCTAACTGCCCTCCCCTGCTGGCCTGGTCACCTTTAACTGCTCTCCCCTGCTGGCCTAATTGCCTCTAACTGCCTCTGACTCAGCCCCCGCCACTGTGGCTTTGTCTGGAAGATGTCCGGTCTAATTAGCATATTACCCTTTTATTAGTATAGATGTGTTTTGTAGTAATTATTATTATTTTATTTTATTTTATTGCTTAAAGTATTACAAAGGGTATTACATATGTGTCCATTTCCCCCCCCCCGCCCTAGACAGTCCCCTAACCTCCCCTATCCCCCAGTGCCTTATGTCCATTGGTTATGCTTATATGCATGCATACAAGTCCTTTGGTTGATCTCTTACCCCCCTACCTCCTGCCTCCCAACCCTCCCTGGCCTTCCCGCTGCAGTTTGACAATCTTTTTGAGGCAGCTCTGCCTCTGTATCTATTATTGTTCAAAAGTTTATAATGGTCTCTATTATCCATGAGTGAGATCATGTGGTATTTTTCCTTCATTGACTGGCTTATTTCACTTAGCATAATGCTCTCCAGTTCCATCCATGCTGTTGCAAATGGTAAGAGTTCCTTCCTTTTTAGAGCAGCATAGTATTCCATCATGTAGATGTACCACAGTTTTCTAATCCATTCATCTACTGATGGGCACTTAGGCTGTTTCCAGATTTTAGCTATGGTGAATTGTGCTGCTATGAACATAGAGGTGCATATATCCTTTCTGATTGGTGTTTCTGGTTTCTTGGGATATATTCCTAGAAGTGGGATCACAGGGTCAAATGGGAGTTCCATTTTCAGTTTTTTGAGGAAACTCCATACTGTCTTCCATAGTGGCTGCACCAGTCTGCATTCCCACCAGCAGTGCACAAGTGTTCCTTTTTCTCCACATCCTCTCCAGCACTTGTCATTTGTTGATTTGTTGATGATAGCCAACCTGACAGGTGTGAGATGGTACCTCATTGTTGTTTTGATTTGCATCTCTCGGATGATTAGTGACTTTGAGCATGTTTTCATATGTCTCTTGGCTTTCTGAATGTCCTCTTTTGAAAGGTGTCTATTTAGGTCCTTTGCCCATTTTTTGATTGGATTGTTTATCTTCCTTTTGTTAAGTTGTATGAGTTCCCTATAAATTTTGGAGATTAGGCCCTTATCAGATATGACATTGGCAAATATATTTTCCCACACAGTGGGTTTTCTCGTGGTTTTGTTGATGGTTTCTTTTGCTGTGCAGAAGCTTTTTATTTTGATGTAGTCCCATTTGTTCATTTTCTCTTTAGTTTCAAGTGCCCTAGGAGCTGTATCAGTGAAGAAATTGCTTCCGCATATGTCTGAGATTTTGTTGCCTTTGGATTCTTCTAGAATTTTTATGGTTTCCTGTCGTACATTTAAGTCCTTTATCCATTTTGAGTTTATTTTTGTGTTTGGTGTAAGTTGGTGGTCTAGTTTCATTTTCTTGCATATATCCGTCCAATTTTCCCAACACCATTTATTGAAGAGACTATCTTGGCTCCATTGGATGTTCTTGCCTCCTTTGTCAAATATTAATTGAGCATATTGGTTCGGGCCGGTTTCTGGGCTCTCTATTCTATTCCATTGATCTATATGCCTATTCTTGTGCCAGTACCAGGCAGTTTTGAGAACAGTGGCTTTGTAATACATCTTGATATCTGGTACTGAGTGTAGTAATTATTTAATAGATGCTTATTATCATTCCATTTTTAAAAATCCTTAGTTTTGTATTTAATGGAATAGATGTATCATAATTTATCTAACCATTATCTTCTTGATGGCCATTTGAGTTATTTTAAATTATTGTTACAAAATATGGTGGTTTCCACACTGCTTTTGTTTTAACTTAAAATTGTTTAAATAACCTTGTCTCTGTCTTTGCTTGAACAACAACGAAAAAAAAAAAAAACTATTGCTGTTAACATTTCCCATAGTCATTTCATTTGCATCTTGAATAAAAACTTTCAAGATCCTCTTTTGGTATGTGTGTTCTTCATCACCATACCATATATGAGATCAGCCCACATCAGTTTCCTGTTAGTTTGGTTTAGTCCTAGGGCATGAATGGAAAGCAGAACCATTTCATTTTGTGTGGTTGAACTTATCTTTCCGAGGTATAAACCAAAAGCTAAGAAACAAAGAAGCCAAAAGGAACTTTTCCTGTGTTTGGAGTGTTGGAATCTCAGAAGACTGAATCTTTAAGTATCTTGATATTTGAAAAAGGTAAATCTAAATTCTTACATATTTTGTGTTGTATTGTTTGATTTTTTTCCAAAAAAAACCATTTAAATGAGAATAATACGTTTCCTGGAAACATTTATAGTAGACACTATAGTCCTATAAAGAAAAATTGTGTCTTGAACCAAGTCTCCTTTTTCTTTTCTCACACTTGTAGAATGTGTAGAAAAAATTGAGATTCTTAAAATTGCATGCCAAACCATGCAAAAGACTGAATTAAGTGCTTTGAGAAATAAGATTTAAGTCAAAAAGAAGGGAGAAAGGGGGGAAGGAAAGGAGGGAGGGAGTGAGGGAAGGTGAAGGGAGAGAGAGGAGGTCAAAAGAAAGGGAAAGACAAAAGAAAAAGAAAAAAGGATGGTAGTGAATTTGGCAAAACATTTATTTATTTATTTATTTATTTATTTGTTTGTTTGTTTGTTTGTTTGTTTATTATTTTAGCTGTTTTTAAGTGTATAATTCAAGGGCATTACGTACTTTCATGTGTTGTACAACAATTACCACTATGATTCCAGAAATTTTTCATCTTGCAAAACTAAAACTCTGCCCATTAAACACTAATTCCCTGTTCCCCTCTACCACCAGCCCCTGACAATCTCTTTTCCACTTTCCATCGCTATGAATTTCTATTTCAAGTTAGATTATTGAAAAGTAAGTGGCTATATTTATATTTTAAACCTGAAAGTATTCATGAGTTTAAACTATGTATAATTAAATATTCATTTCTTGTACACATTTTTAGGCATAGTAAGTTTTTTTCACTGTGTGATTTAAATTACAGTAATTACAGTTAAACTAAGACCAAGGTCTTAATAGCAGGCTTGATTTTAAGTTGACTATTTTAAGAGACAAAGCAGGACATCTACAACAGTGTCAACATCAAAAATTATTTTTGAAAAAGAAAGGTTAGGTGCATTAATAACTTTAAAGAAATCATTTGTGACAACTGGATATATATACATATATAATTAAACATTTGTATAAGTTTGTACTTTTTTATTGTCTGATCTATTTATTTTTATGGAACATTACATTATAAAACATTGAACAGGTTCTGGAATGAATATAAATATATAAGCTGGCCTTTTTCTGCTTCTTCAAGATAAAAAAGTGATTGATATAATTCCATTACTTTGCTTCTCCTTTCAATCTCTACTTTTCTTCTTTTTACTCTTTCTTTTTGTCCAAGGAACAAGAGGGGAGGCTGAAATTGATTAATTAGACAAGACGGAAATACTGTGCTGGCCTAGTTTGCTGTAACTTCCCTCTATGACTAAACTATGCATAGGACCTAGACATAACTGTGCTGTTACTAACCTGTCATTTAAGACAGCATCAAATGGTTTAATGTGATTTAGTCACTCATTCTCTCTTTCTCTCTCAATAGTTTAATACATAGTCACTATCATGGCTTGTTATCAATATGGGATACCAAGTGATGCTTTTGAATTCTCAGTGTTTTTGGAAACTCTTGGCCTTATGTCCAGCTACCTGTGGATTAAAACCCACAGCCTCCATTCTTTTTACACACTTCCTTCAGGCTTCAACTCTGACCCCAGGTTGCAAGCAATGCACCCACCATACGTGTTTGGTTATATGACTCTTTAGCTCTAGAACAGTGTTTCTCAACCTTCTGACCCTTTAAATACATAAGTTCCTCATGTTGTGACCCAACCATAAAATTATTTCCGTTGCTACTTTGCCGGGGTCCAACCCCAGCAGGTCCAGGGGTCCCCAAAGGTGTGGACGGAGTCGGCGAAGAAGGAAGGACACGGAGACAGTGTTCAGTTGATCAGCAGCCTAGCCAGGATCTCCAGCCAAGTTCTGGTCTGGATCTCCAGAGAGGTTCTGCTTAGGATCTCCAGCCAGGTTCTGTGTCCATGTTCTCTTGCTAGGTTCTCCAGCCAGGTTCTCCAGGTTCTCCAGCCAGGTTCAGTCACCAGGTTCTAGTCAGGTTCTCTTGCCAATTTCTGTAGTCAGGTTCAGTCCAGGATCTTTTGCCATGTTCTCTCCAGCGAAGTTCTTCTGTCTCTAGGTTCTGTGTAGGTTCTGTCTTCTTTGGTTCTGTCTTCTAAGTTCTGTCTTCTAAGTTCTGTGTGTTGCTGTCTTGTTACATCTGTATTTATACCAGTTGATTCAATCCTATCAATCTCTATTCCAAAGGTTAGGGCGTTTCTTATCTCCATTCCAGGGAGTAAAGATTATGTAGCTTAAGCATGATTGTTCATAGTTAAAGTGATTAATTACCTGCCTGGCACTTAGTTAAGAGGTTTTATTCCCTCCCTAACTTCAGGGGAAAATCCCTACCTGGGGAAACAACCTTTCTCAGAGAGGAGACCTTGGTTAAAACACATAGTGCCAAGAAGGTGAGCAAACATATTAAGAACAGTATGCCATATATGCCAGGTCCCTTGAAACATATGCTGTGCAGATGTTTCTATCCTGCAGCGACTGTGTCAAGCAGCAAGGATGGACCGGCTTCCGGCACTACTTCATAACTGTAATGTTACTACTGTTATGAATCGTAATGTAAATATCTGATATGCAGGATGGTCTTAGGCGACCCCTGTGAAAGGGTCGTTCGACCACCAAAGGGGTCGTGACCCACAGGTTGAGAATCGCTGCTCTAGCAGATCCGGTCATTTGCAGAGAAAAAGATGAAATAAAGATGATGCATAAGTTTGTACTTTTTAAAACACTTGCATGTACATCATATAATATCCTGACAATAATTCTGTGAATAAAGCAGGGGAGTGTTATCACCATTTAATTAATAGGAAAATTGAGATCCAGGAATGATAATAAATTACCTAATATTAAAAAGTTAGGGGAGGGTGGGAGGGTAAGAGATAAACCAAAGGACTTGTATGCATGCATATCAGCATAACCAATGGACACAGACAGTAGGGGCGTGAGGGCATGTGCTGCGGGGTGGGAGCAACCGGCGAGAGGTCAATGGGGAGGGGGGAGGAAGGAGACATATGTAATACTTTAAACAACAAAGAATTTAAATTAAAAAAGTTAATGGCCTAATTGGAACCCAAATCTCCTTATTCCTGGTCCTATTCTCTGTCTTTTGAGTAACACTACCTCCCTAAATCCTTTGTGTTTCATGTAGAAGAAACATCTTACTTTGACATTTTAATATATGTTGCCTTAATGGGTTCTTTTATAATTTCAGGAATATACTGCACTCTTCTGTTTAGAAATCTTGACTAATAAAATGCTTGGAGAAGCCTTCCTACTTGAACTCCTATACAAAGAACAGAAATATACAACATTTTGTAAACCACCTACATGTAAGAAGACCTCAAACGATGAAAAGGAAACTTGGAAAAAGCAACTTTTAGATATAGAAGACAACTCACTTTCTCCTGATAAAATAGAAAATCAACAAAAGGTTGAAAAAGAAAGGTTAACAAAGCAAATTAATGATACAAATAAAATAAAATTTGTGGATGAAATAACTGTACCAAAATGCAAAAGTGCATCCTTTCCAGGAAATCTGTCTGTTGCACTGCCCATTCCAAAAAGAGAACAATGTGATGAAAGACAACTGGATTTATACCGATCTTGGTCATGTACAAGTATTTGCCAGAATTATCCTGACCTACAGATTGGAGGAGACCACGTGGGCAACATGTATGATTCAGGCTGCTTTGTGGAACACATACGTGATGATGCTTTTAATGGTCCCCTTTTACTTTCAGTAGATATACCATTGGGCCATTCTCCCATCATTGAGCCTCTAGAGAAACTATCTGCCTCAAAACTTTTGAATGGAGATGAAATTCGAGAAAAAAGTATGTTGTTTCATAAGCAGCCTCGCTCTAATTCTATGCTTAATAAGTATATGGAAAACAAGCTGGATGAACTCTACAAACAATTTTTGGAAGAAAATCTCACTAAGTGCCTCTCTATAACCAACCTTACGGCTTCTAATTTGCTAATGAATAATGTAAATCAGTTTAGCCTTCAAATCTCTCAAGAGCAGAACGTAGAGGCTTCGAAAGCCCGGGAAGCTCTCCTACATTCTTTTTCAAGATGTAATCTCTATAACATTTCCCATGGAAACAGTTCTGAATTCAGCACTCCTAACCTACAAATATCAAAACAGAGAAGTAGGGAATTTGCATCACATGTAATATAAAAACCAATTATAGGTTCCTTGCACTGACTTAAGAGATTGGAGTAACAATAGTTTTCTCTGCTTTATCATGTCACATCAGGCCTCCTTTGGGCTGTGGTTATTACATTTTTTGAGAAATTATTTGGCCTTGGCAGGGTAGCTCAGTTGGTTAGAGCACCATCCTTCATACGCCAAGGATGTGGGTTCGATTCCCAGTTGGGGCACAAATCTCTCTCTCTCTCTCTCTCTCTCTCTCTCTCTCTCTCTCTCTCTCTCTCTCTCCATTCCTCTCTCTCACTAAAATCAATAAATAGAAAACAGAAATGATTTCATCAATGGTATATCTGTATTATTTTATGAGACAATTTTAATAATTAAGCTGTATGACCATGTTTGTTAATTATTTTGACATCTTTAATGGTTGCCACATTCATGTTTGTAAATTCTGTATGGCTTATTTATTTAATTGCCACTGGCACCCCAAATTTATTGCCTCACTCTTGCTTTATTTACCAAAAAAGTGGTACAAAATTGAGAAGAGGAAAGGATTATTGCTTTCAGCTACTGAAAGGATCACTAGAAATGATATCATACAGAACCATTTATTTGCCACAAAAATATTTAAAATCTTATGGATTATGCTTATTCTTTCTTTTATTTTTAACATACATACAGATATTTTGACACTGACAGTAAGAATAGCCTAAAGGAAATTCTTCAAACTAAAGTTGGATTTAAATGGCATTGGAAAAGTATGGAAGAAAGGCTTAAGGAAAATATAGAATTTGACATTGAAATTTGCAATTGAAACCTGGTGCTTTCTATACTTACCTGGCAAGGGAGATGCCATGATCAAGAAGGTGGTTGTCCCAGGGTGAGGTTTATCCATTGCACTCCAGATGTGCTGACCCCTGCGATTTCCCCAAATGTGGGAAACTTGACTGCATAATTTGTAGTAGTGGGGGACTGAGTTTGCTTTGCGCTCGCCCCTGAGGGGCGGGGGGGCGGGGGCGGGAAGAAACCTAGTGCTTTCTAACTTTCCCGAGGCAGGCATCAACTTTTTTTTATATCTTTATGTGTGCATGGTGGTTTTAAGGGTTGAGAGGAAAGAAAACATACAGGTAAATAGGACAAAGTATATAGAGAACCACCATCTAGAAATGAAGAGGCTCTCTTGGCAATTTTTGACACTTCTCAGATTATCCTCCATCAAGATCTTGGTTAAGGATAAAAGTCAGCAGGATGTTATAGTGATTTTGAAATCTAAACTAAGTAACAAGACATACCCAAAATAATGTTGTTTTATTGCAGACTTGGAAACAAAACTCTACACTTAGCAGCTTACTAGTACGCTTCTCCTAGATATAGTAAAATGATCGGCATGCACTTTTGCTTGTAAAATAAGATTGTATTTATTTGTTGTAGAATTATTATGATTGCATTATATATTAATAAGATTTGTGCATTAGTGATCACGTGGATTTTTACACATACACAGTTATGTATGTGTGAAAATCCATGATAAATAAAATTATATTTGAAAGCAAAAATAAATAAATGAGGGCAAAAAATGTTCTCATAAGTTAAAATCAAGATAACTGTCTTTTGGAAAAAATGCTTATTGGGAATTTAGGACTTTTCTTCTCTAATCATGTTGTTGTATTCCCTTCCTCGAGGTCTAGTAAAAATTTATTAAAATGTTATTATTTCCTGTTGGTTTTATAATTATTATAGTGTAATGGTATAGCATCATTTGTCACAATTTTATGAAATAGCCTTCAAATAATTATATTTAAGAACATATCTATAAAATGGAAAAAAAGATACACCATTGCCTTTAGATAAATAAATAAAACCTGAATCCCTTAAAAATAATAATAAAAAAAGAACATTTATAAAATGATGAAAATCAAATTACAGTATGTTGACATCAATTACAAATACTGAATTATTGTTATAGGCAGCTAATTCTTTGAATTGTTCTGCTATTTTTTTTAAAGATGAGAAATTTGTAGATTACAGAATTGCAATGTAGTTCTGGTTTTTACTTCCCAAAATGAATAGAGCCGCTTTACCATGAGACCTAAATTGTCATAAGACCTTGGTTTCATCTGACAGTGACTGAAGTTCATAGGTAAGCTATTTCCTGAAATTTATTTATCTCTACAGTTGTAAACTGGACCTACATCTACCAAGTAGAATTTGTGTAGATGAAAAAGTTTAAGGAACAGCTCAGGACTCTGATGACTTGTGTGGTTCTGCCCCTCTCCTTTGAGGGTTCAGCACCACTTTAGAAACTATTTAATTGTAGAGCACCCTTGTATTCTTTTCCTTAGGTGAGGCTTAGGAATTGATATCTAAGGGTTCAACTAATATAGGACCAACTTGAGCCTAGACTCTTAGCATACCTCCAAGGCCAATTCAAGATCAGAATGAATTTTCAGAGTTTTCTATCCTCTAATAGATGTATCCTCAGGACACTCCAGGTACTAGGAGGAACTGACTGGCTACTTATTCATTAAACAAATATTTATTGAGCACTGTGATAGGTGATAGGGATAAAAGGTGAACAAAATTTATGCAGTTACTGCTTTTCACTGAGATTACAGTCCAGCTTATTTAGAATCAAAGAGCAAAAGTAAATCATCACAATCTAATTTTAGAGCCTTGAAAGTTATGAGCATGTTAATAGTTCTGCCTGTTTAGCTTGTTAATAATCTAGTCTGAGTCTTGTATCCAGGACCGCTATTTGGTTGCCATTCCAGAATACCTCTACTGATTACTAAACATGCTAAAATATCTCCATGCCAATTGGTATGAAGCTGCTATCCCCAACCTTGCAAGTCCTCTCACCATGGGTATCCTGGTCATTCTGACTCCTTCTTTGGGAACCTTGTATCTTCTTATCATCCAGCAACTGAACAGACAAAGAGGCTTTAGTACCCAACTCCAGTCCTACCCAGGACACTTCTTATTCATTAGAGCTGTTAAATATTTTGACCATCACTTCTGCTTTTTTCTACTTCAGTATTGAGATTCCAATTCCAAAACCCTGTTAAGTAATACCATTATTCCTAGACTTTAGCCCTGCTTTTATTGCAGCTACTAAGTAAATGAAGATGTATTCATGAACAACAAATATGTGATTGTACCTTCCTCACTGTCTCTTTTTTTTATTCTCTCTTGCTTTCCTCTGAATCTTTATTGCTGCATTCTTCTCTAAGGCCATTTGCTTCTTGATAGATTACCCAGGTGCATACTAACTTATAGAATTATGGCCTATTACCTGTTGACCAAATTGAGGTACTTGAAACACTAAAGAGAGGACCTCATTATGGGTGTTGTACCTTGATTACCCTGAATACTCTATATTATTCCTGTTTTATATGTTGTCTCAGACCTAAAAGCTACTGATATTGCATTGTGTTTCATAACAAAAGAGTGATTTCTGTTTCAGACACTGATGAGTTATATTGTAAAGCTTAACTACAAAATAGGTCCATGCCCTGGTTAGTGTGGATCAGTTGATAGAGAGTTGGCCTGTGCACCGAAGGGTGTCAGGTTTGATTCCCAGTCAAGGGCCAGTACCTGGGCTGCAGGTTCCATCCCTAGCTCTGGTCGTAGTGGGTGCGGGAGGCAACCAATCATTGTGTCTCACATTGTTTCTCTCTCTCTCTCTCTCTCTCCCATCCCCCTCCCTCCCTTCCACTTTCTCTTAAAGTCAATGGAAAAACTATCCTCAGGTGAGGATAAATAAAATAAAATAAAATAAAATAAAATAAAATAAAATAAAATAAAATAATAAAGTAAAATAAAAATAGGTCCATGTCCTGAGAAGACTGGCTATATATGTGAAGTTTCTTAAGTGTCTATTATAGAGATTTATCCATGTAACTGAAGATTTTATTACCTACTAAATGCCCATCTACCTATAGGTAGAATGCTATTATTAGCCATTGTCATTCTGTAATATGAATAGCTACCATTTTTAGTATCTATTATATGATAAACATTCTACTAATCTTTACTCATTTAATTATTTACACAATATCAGATAGGTAATATTATTATCCCAATTTTAGACAAAGAAAGTTAAAGTTCAGAGATGTTAAAATGTTTTACTCAAGATCATATAGTTACTCTGAGTAATAATCAGTATTCAAATGAAGTCATTCTGACATCAGAACTTTTGCTGTTACCCTAGGGCAGTGGTCGGCAAACTCATTAGTCAACAGAGCCAAATATCAACAATATGATTGAAATTTCTTTTGAGAATCAAATTTTTTAAACTTAAACTATATAGGTAGGTACATTCAACTTTAAATGCAACTTTAAATTCACTGTTTTCGTCTTCCTTTTTTCTTTGCTTCTTCTTTGTAGCCATCTCAAACAGGGCACCTAAAAAATGTTTCATTTTATAATAATAAAGCCACCAACACAAAGTAATTACAATTCTTAAATTGATGACAAAAATACAGGTAGGATTTGCAGTTGGTTGGAAAAATACAGGTAACTTCATGCTTCAAGTAGGTACTTTTGTCACCTGCGCGCGATTTGCGGACGCGACTAGCACTAACCACTGCACAATGAGACTGCTGACTGACTGGCTCACTCAACTCCTGCATGAATCACGCGCGCCTCCCCCTCGCGCGCTGCGTATCCACCACCCGTGTGCACGGCCTCTCCCGTCGTCTGACCAACTGACACCCCCCACTTCTAACGCCACTTCCTCAAAATAGACTCGCCCAGGCGGAAAACCGACTTCTGCACATGGGCCACGAAGTTTCAATCGCACTGTACATGCGCGCCCGTACGTGGTATTTTGTGGAAGAGCCACACTCAAGGGGCCAAAGAGCCACATGTGGCTCGCGAGCCACGGTTTGCTGACCAGTGCCCTAGGGCAGGAGTGAGAAACCTTTTCTCTGCCAAGGGTCATTTTGATATTTACAATATCATTTGCCGGCCATGTAATTATGTTTAAAAAATTAGTCTGCTATATTTGGTCAAACATCTAATTAACTCTGAAGTTAACGTATAATTATTGCCTGTTACCTGTTGACCAAATTGAGCCCTAATGCCTTGTCAGGACCTGACCAAATGATTCCGTGGGCCTTATACGGCCTGTGGGCCAGACATTCCCCATTCCTGCCCTAAGGGTTGCCAGATTTAGCAAATAGAAATCCAAAATACCTAGTTAAATTTGAATTTCTGGACAACAACAAGTTAGTTTTATTATAGATATGTCCCCATGCAATTTTTGGAACACACTTATGCTAAAAATATTCATTTATCTGAAATTCAAATTTGCCTTGGCATCCTGTATTTAATCTGGCCTTACTTTTAAACATTATCCTTTGCTTTTTCTAGGATGATTTAAAAAGCAGGGTGAATGATGAAGGTGGAGAGAGAGTAGTGGAATAGAATGTGAAGGCAGTGGGTGAAGAACTGAAGGACCCAAGTAAGTGAGAAAAGACCAAGATAAATATCACATGATCTCACTCATTTATGGAATATAATGAACAACATAAACTGATAAACAAAAACATAACCAGAGACAGAGAAGCATCGATCAGACCGTCAAACCTCAGAGGGAAGGTAGGGGAGGGTGGGGATAAGGGGGAGAGATCAACCAAAGGACTTGTATGCAAGCATATAAGCCTAACCAATGGACACAGACAACAGGGGGGTGAGGGCATGTGTGGGGGGAATGGGGGGATAAGGACACATATGTAATAACTTAATCAATAAAGAAATTTTTTAAAAAAGAATTCTGGAGGCTGTAAATCAAAGATACCATTTTATAGAGTCAATATCCTGAAGGAGACCTGGGGAGCAAGATTAATCTCCTGGGTACTTTGTAGACTGTTTTTTTTTTTTTTTTTTTTTTTTTAAAGTTGTTTTATTGCTTAAAGTATTACAAAGAGTATTACATATGTCTCCTTTTTTTTTCTCCCCTTGACCTTCCCCTGGCCTCCCCTACCCACCAG